TCAGAAATGACGGCCGACCCGGCGCATCATACATCTCAATGATGTTTTCTTTATTCAATTTTTCCTTCTTTTTCTCCTGAGCTCGTTTTTGAGCTTCTGCATTTCCCTTTAACTTCTTGAGTTTCTTTTCATCCAACACAACCGTCTCCTCAAGCTCTTTAATTTTAGAAGTTACTTTTATTCACTATGGTCAGAAAAAACTAAAACAAACAAGCGTCAATGAAAAATAAGCATTATTTCAACCCAACAGAATACCAACAAACCCTCAAGACACCAGTTGCTTCAACCTTTGGCTCTGAAGAACAGCTAGACCTGTCCTCAGTTTCAGACGCTGTTCTTATCAAAAACTTTTTCAAACTACTGATTTCTACTCCCCCCAATATCTTAGATAAGGATGAATACCTTCCTATAGAGGATAATCCCAATATGAAAATGGATCAAAACAAAGATTTCACAGTTATTATTCGTTTAACCCTATTTGCTTGTGTAGTAACCATTCCCAAAAGCCTCAAGGACCTCCCCACTGCTACTATTTCAAAGATTATCAATGCTCACTTTGCCTTAGATGATGCGTTCAGGGGGATTAACGTCTGCTATGTTAACCTTATTTAGTTGATCATGATCTACTTCAATAATCAGCAATCTATAAAATTAGCCCTTAATGCGAAATTTTTCGATTTGGATATCAACCAGCTAGTTCAGTATGCAACTTATAAAGAAAATATGCAGTTTCCTTAACGCATACTTCGTATTACTGTTATCCATCTTAACCTCAAAAAAGAATAGCTCACCAACATATTTGCTAAATACGGCAAGATAGTTACTATACAAATGTTTACCAGAGATCTTTGACAGCAAGCTTATATCATTTATGAAGATCCTAAGAGTGTCAATCTCTTCCATACTCAATGATCACATTTTATTTACAATGATTGCGTCTGAGTATACCCAGTCTGCCTTACCCCAGAACAAGTTAAACAACGTAATCACTTTAGAATGAGACTTACCAATTTACCCTTTAACATCTTTGCTAGAGATCTGCAAGACATCACCTTAGCTACTAAAGCTAAAGCCCTCTACATTTCTCATTCAAACAATTATAAACCTTGACCCTTTGCAGTCTTTTACTTCAAAACAGAGGCAGATATTAACAATACTGTTAAACAATCTTTTGCGTTTGGCAACAACGAACTCCAATAGTACTTAGCTAACATGAGATGTTATCATAAATGTGGTTCTCCAGAACACATTGTCATGAAATGTCCCCAAATTGTTCCATCAGTGACGATTCTGTTAATCAACCTAAAACTCCAATTTACAAGCTTCCCTCTGTTCAAAAACTATACACTTGTTTCAAGCCAGCAGGATCTAGATCCTTGATCACAAAATATAACGACCGCTAATCCAACCATAAATAGTCACCCTTTTCAAAGAGGAAAACAAACCTGCTACAGATAAAGGCAAAGCTAAAGACAAAGGCTTTGCAGGTTCTTCGATTGATGACTTAGTTCATAATCTCAATAATAACAATAACATGACCAATGATAAGCTAAATAGAATCCTCAGTATGCTCACGGGCATGCAAAAAGCTATGTCTGATCTTGAAACTCGCATTGCTAAGCTAGAAAAGACTCTATACCTCACCTTTCTTTTCACTGTCAAGTATTCTGAATAACGGGTCTATTGCGCAGCAATCTGTGTCTACTTCTACCCCAAAAAAGAATTTGTATTGCCAATTCCTCCTTAGATAAAAACTTTAATAAGTCACCAGTTCTCATCGACTTTAAAACACAAGCAATTATTAATGAACAAGCCTCTGTCATTGCTGATCAACAGAAGCATTACAGCTCGTTAATGCCTAAATGCTCAAAATCATAGTTCAGGTGTAAAAGCCATCTGACTCCTCTCTACAATAACTTCACCTATTACCTAACCCATAACCATGATTAATAATAATACAAATATCGATAAAAATAAGAATTACAATAATAAAAATATAGAACATTTCACTAACAATCAAAATAATTCAAAAGGCATACCTACTATATCTTTTGCTACCCATAATGTAAATTCACTTCAATGTTTAATCAAAAACTAATTTATTAACGATACATTTACAGATCTTAATATGGATTTCGTAGGTCTTACTGAAACTTGACACAAGTCTGACCAATCCTTTAGTTATATATATGACCCTGATTACACTT